CCCAGGCCATTCTATCATTCTGTGATTCCATTCTGTGATTCTTCCAACCCCTGCCATTCTGTGATACATATCTTTGCACCAGCTTAAATTGTGGTTGTAGGTGCTGTGTTTCAGTGAAACACACCCCAGTCAAAACTCATTGAAGCTGAAGCAAATGCGTGGGGTTCGCGCTTGGGTTTCGTGTTTGTTTTTTAACAACTCAATGATTGAGAGGCGGAACTGGGGAAAAAAAAACAAAAACAAAAACAAAAACAAAACAGTACAAACCCCTTCATTAGCATAACATCCTGATGGAATTTGGGCTCCCAGATGGTTTACTGGGCGACTTGCCCGTGTTTCCCAGCTCTGCAGGGCCGTTCCCACTTAGGTGCTGCATTACAAGCGGAGCGGAGTCCCTGCCTTCCAACAGCTTTGTCCCGTGGTAGAACAGGAAGGAAAGCACAGGATAGCTGTGGGTGAAGAATACATTTCCTGGGCTCTGAACTCTGGGTCTGACCCCGACCAGCCGTGCTCCGCTATGGAAATCCCATTGGAGAGCAGCGCGAGCGTTGGTCGGATGCGGGGCTGCGCTGCCGTCTCCATCCTCATTCCCTCCCTTCTTTCTCTGGGTTTGTTTTCCACATGACTGGGAAACAATTGCTCCTTCCACGCGGAGCCCTTCTCCCATTCCTGGGAAAATGGCAGGGAATGGCAAATATTTGCATAATCGTCTTTGGTGCTATTGTGGGCGGGCTCCGGGCGGGCGCTGGGCTGCAGAGCGGCCACCTGTCCCGAACAAATGGACTTCGCCTTTGTGTCGCCTTATCTGCTTTTCCACCGTGTTATTTTTTGCCTAATGAATAACTCGATTAAAATATGATAAAAGCCATCGTTCGGGCCGTGTTTGCCCTAGGTTTAAATCAGCCTTCGGAGACAAGGGGGGAGAATTTCCTCTCTGGGTGTCAGCACAGCTCTATTTCCAGGCGGCTCCGCCGTCGTTTTATCACCGCCTTTGTGAAATTATCCTCATGAATATTAATTGAGGGTGTGGGAATCAAAACCCCGAACCTCACAACGAATTGCATTCATCCTCTTAGAAATGATAAATTAAGTGTTGCCTAATGGTCCGCCTCACCTCCGTGGTTGGGTCCAGGGGCAGGAGAGGACGCGAGGATTCCCTGCGCTCCCCTGTGCCTGCTTCTGGCTTCTGTGTGTATGGCTGTTGTGTCCTCACCCTTTGTACCCTGGGAAGGCATTGAATGAGTTCCAACTTCCAGAAGCTCATTCCTTCGGATACCTTTGGTGCTTTGCACAGCTGTGGGGTGGGGTGGCACAGCCCAGTGCCACCGGTTACAGCACATCAACCTTTGCACAGAGAGCGAGTTTCGATTGGTGCCATATTGCAGAGCAAAGCAAACCCTTCAGTCCTTTGATTTTGGTCATAAAGCGTGTGTAAACTAAGCTCTTGTGAGGAGATACTGCTTTTTATTGCTCCCATACTTTCTTTCTTTGGGGTCATTGAAAAGCAGTGGGCCAAAGTCAGGTGAAGTGCTGGTGAGTGAGCTGTGAGGAGGAAGGGAAATCAGTTTTCATCCCTTGCCTTTCTTTCTTTCCCTAGCAACGATGCTTTGAGCCCTAGAACATGCTTTCATTGCTTTAACTATTATTACTCTTATCTCTTCTGAAGCCCCTGTCCAGTGCCCTTCATGCAGTGCTGTTCTTCACATGCACATTTACCTGCATGCAGGTGGTTGCAGAGCTGGCTGCTCCAACCAATCCCCAGTTCTGCAGCCATTTCAGGAGTGTTGCACTTCTCCCTTTCCAGGTGAGCTGTTGGCTGTAGCAGCCAACTATGTTGAGCTGTGCTCTGAGGGCTGTACACACAGCCTGGCTGCTCCAGCCCTCTATCATAGAATCATAGAATCACAGAATCACAGAATGGCCTGGGTTGCAA